ATAAAATATCAATCCAAGTACACAATACATATATGACCACAAGAACTTCATATGCTTTTTTGTTTGTGTTTAGATAAATCGTTCAGTGAGGTTTGACTGTTAAACTAGGTTATTTACAAATCATCCAAGCACCCGATTGATTTCTAATGTTTGATTATTATGACTAAGTAGTATTAAATTGTAAAGAAATGACAGATCCATCTTTGAAATCTGATTGGTTGATAACTTTTGACAACATTTAATTCAGGTGTGAAATGAATTAATATCTGCATGAGCATAGCGAGAGATTTGCGAGTGCACAGGACACAGTTTGAGCGAGAAGAGAGACACGTTTTAAGTGTGTGCACTCTCTCTGGGCGAGAGCAGCGTCTATCTGTGCGCGCGAGTCCGGTTTAGTGCGAGAGCAAAGGAGAGATTCGTGCAAGCGCATCCTTCATATGCTTTTTTGTTTGTGTTTAGATAAATCGTTCAGTGAGGTTTGACTGTTAAACTAGGTTATTTACAAATCATCCAAGCACCCGATTGATTTCTAATGTTTGATTATTATGACTAAGTAGTATTAAATTGTAAAGAAATGACAGATCCATCTTTGAAATCTGATTGGTTGATAACTTTTGACAACATTTAATTCAGGTGTGAAATGAATTAATATCTGCATGAGCATAGCGAGAGATTTGCGAGTGCACAGGACACAGTTTGAGCGAGAAGAGAGACACGTTTTAAGTGTGTGCACTCTCTCTGGGCGAGAGCAGCGTGTATCTGTGCGCGCGAGTCCGGTTTAGTGCGAGAGCAAAGGAGAGATTCGTGCAAGCGCATTATATTTATGTGCTTTCGCACTACAATAATGCGCTCTCGACATGTCATTAAAATAACGCCATAGTTATTCCATATACGTAGTAAGTTTTCACAAAATAAAACAGAGCAAATAAAGTGTATGATATTAATAAAAACAGTATTCTTCCACCAAACAATGTAGCTCCTCAGAAACAGTTGTGGTTTCAACAAAGTGGTTGCAGAGCAGCACACAGAAGTAAGCAAAGGTGTATGTTTGTAGAGTAATTTACAACAGCTTCGAACGTGGCTCAGCCAATCAGAATCAAGCACCGGAACTCTCCGCTTTATAAAGCTACAGAAACTAGTTTCTGTAGCTCAGTCTGGGGTAACCTCAGGGCTTCAGGGCTCGAGTCATGTGACCTCCACAGTGTGCTCACTCACCCAGCGCGTGAGGGATGAGATGAAGGAACGCATCCCCAAGCAAACCTCCAGATGCGAAACTCAAGAGCACTTTGAGCAGGTTCTGGTGCTGGTCCGTGTTTGACTGCACCGGGATGAGGAAGAGGATGAGGAAGGGAGCAGCGCTGATGAGCAGAGTGGCTCCAATGGCCTACAAGCAGGAAAGAAAGAAAGAAAGCTCAGTGTCGTAAAGCCATGGTTTTCAGCAAGACCTTCACAGACCCCTGGAGGTTAAAGACGGCACTGCAGAGCATCTGTGGACTGGAAAAATATCTCGGAAATAAACACATGTCATGTTTTTCTAAATGTTCTGGATATTATTCATGTATAAATGTGGTTCATGTGTTCTATAGCTTTAAATATATACATGCAAACATAACCTAATGCCAATTTTGATCAGGTTGATGTTATTTTGTTTGATTATTTTTTCAATTTCAGACGGTCCAGCAGTGCATCATCTGATTACATGAGTCATGTTTTTAGTATAACATTTTAGTGCAAGGAGAATACAACTCAAGGACTTCTGTGAAGATTTTTGAGTGAGCAAATAACTCAATAATTCACTAAAACACTTAGCAAGTATACAGTAAAAAAAAAAAAACATTTTTTGCATACTACTCGTTTATTGTTAATTCATAGTTAATAAACAGCAGCCTCTACATTAATAGGCTATGTACAAATAGTGAGAACGACATTCACGGTCACTAAGACATTTTTATTGTTTAATTAGCTCATATGTGTTAGATCATGTTTTAATCCCACTCATTAACCTAACTAATGTACTGAATTTAAACCAGCAGTGAAGGAGTTGTTAATGCTTATCAGGAGTAAATACTTCTTTCAAACGTGTAAATGTTTAAAAGCTCTCTCTTTGTACATAGCCTATTAATGTACTAACAATTTGTGACTAGAATTTATAAACTACGATTTAACTAGTTTGCAAATGATTTAAGTACTTCATGACTGTATCAAGTGTTAACATATTTTACAGAATTCACTGAATCTGAAAAGACTGGCATATTGTGACAATCTCGTCCACCAGCGTGATTTACCTGCATCCAGAGCTCCACCATGTTCCGCTTCCCTGCTTTCACGTCGCTTTTCAGTCGCTCTGCTGCGTGATCATCTTTGTGTGCGTGTCCATGATCGTGTGCATGTCCATGATCGTATCCGTGATCGTGACTGTGATCATGACCGTGATCGTGTGCGTGATCGTGAGCATGTCCATGATCGTATCCGTGATCATGAGCATGTTCGTGATCGTGACTGTGATCATGACCGTGATCGTGTGCATGATCATGAGCATGACCGTGATGCTCCTCTTCAGCGTGGGGCACGTTAGCTTCAGCGCTCCATTTGCTGGCCCCATGGTGCATCTTGGCCGCTCCGTGCGAGTGTCCGTGGCAGCCGCCGCCGTCGCCGTGCGAGTGTCCGTGATGATGGTGGGAGTGAGCGAGTGTCTGCTGACACACTGCCATCCCAACAGTGATCAGTAACAGTGAGCTGATGAAGGTCCTCATTCCTCCTGCAAACACAAACACAACACTCTTGAGCTCACACAGCATCATCAGAGCCCTAATGAGTAACAGGTCCATGCGCTTTATCTAGAAGCATGATAACACACTCTTCTGCCCGGACACGGTGGAACATGTAGGCTTTCAATTAACAGCAGCTCGTAAACTGCATGCACAATAATATAAGAAACCAGAGAAATGTTCAAAATAGTTTAAGATTTAGTACAGGATTTCACACAGTATGTCAGATTAAGTTGAACTCAAATAGCTTGAACTAGTAAAACAGGCCGTTTTGGAGGTCAGTTTGTAACGGACTAGCTTTTATGAACTCAGTCAATAACAATTCACGAATGAATGAATGTTGTCTCAGACATCAGAACAACATCCGGCTGCAAAGCGGACATGACGACAGCAGAGAGGACGCAATGAAATCCATTTCCGACAGGTCTGTGGTTACTGGACACCGGTTATTAAGAGCAGTTCCCTCCCAAATAAGTATTTTGGAGTAAAGCCTAACGTGAAACAGTGTTTCATCTATCTGTTAAGTCGACACGTAGGAAGCCTGGAAGATGAACCGAGTCCAGCAAGCTTAAATCAAGTGTGTGTCTCAGTAGCCGAGCAGAAGAGATCAGGATGATAACCGATGAGTTAAAAGGGATAAAAGCATCGGCTCCATCCAGCCATTAGAGCTAACGTCAGGTAAATCATCACTAGTCTGTGTTTGAGCAGGATTAGAGCTTCTCGAGCTAGAAGTGAGCAGATCAGTGCAGTACACACACGATCACTCTCACAAAGACCATCGTGTCGATAACTTACCCGCTGCTGCTGGAGACGCCTCGCCGTCTGATAACCGCACACGACTCAACCGCTAACGGCAACCACTCCGATGTCGCTTATTTTGCGCAGTCGGTCAAATACACACCTGCAGATGCTGCTGCTCACACTCTAACCGACGTGGCATTTAGTCAACGCACTGAAATCCCGCGAGACTTCAGATCTGCGCGTTCAGAAAGACATTGAGCAATGAAATAACGCGATATTACAGTCACACGTCAAGCCGGATGCGATGCTGTAAGTTAGTGCTTTTTAAAAGCTGTTTATCATTAGTATTATTTTAAAGCTGTATTGTTTTCTTTGTACATTAGGATAGTGATGAATCAGAAAATTATGGATTACCTTTCAGGAAATGGGCGGCGAATGTTAAACTGTTTCCTATGAGTTAGGAGTATATGAATGAAAGTTTCTGTCTCAGATTAAAAAACAAAAACATTTCGACTTTACATCTCACAATTATAGCTTCATGTCTCAAAATTGCTGCCTTATTTCTTAGAATTGCATTTGTATTTATTTAGCAACTTTATATCTCACATGTATAACTATTTCGCATAGTTGTGACTTATATGTTACAGTTTTTTTAGTTTTTTACATTTGTGAATAAAATAAATAAAATGCATTGTAGTATTTTGGAAATGTGAAGTTGTAAGAGTCATTAATCAGTTCTTAAAAGAGTAGACCAACCTAACCTTTACTTAGCAGTTCATGTTCCTACGCTAATGAGTTGCCCAGAGGAAAGAAATATAAAAAAATGAGATTGATTTAACAAGTCAGATCACTTTAATATTTACAGCACTTTATAGAATACAGATTGTTTTAAAGTAGCGTCACGATATTAAACAGGAAGGCAACAGAATCAATGATGCTAAATTGTGCTGTAAATCAGCTGTAGCAAGACAATAGTGACATTATTCAGCTCCGGCCTGTTCAGTGTTGATTCGGTTCAGTTCAGTACCATTGTAGAAGTTGCAGAATTCATTCATTATGAACATATTTGATTCAGCTATAAAGCAGAAGACAATAATGTCAATAATCAGCTCAATTCAGTTCAAGTTTTGTTCTCATCCGACTGTGTCGTTGTGCCGTAAAATCAGTGGTATTACTGAATATTTACATTAAATTGAATTTAACATCTCAAATGTTTCTCTTATTTACTACCATATAATATAAATGAATACTCAAATGATTCATAGATTAAGTCATAAGACATCATCGGTTCAACATAAAAGCTCCAAGGTTACTGATCCGATTTCTGTAAGCTGCTTTGGATGGATTAAATTGTGCACATTTTCAGTGGTCAGAAACCAAATGTGCATACTAATGGTACTTCTTTTTATTTTGCTCAACATGCTCCTTTTCCACTGTCATGGTTCCAGAGCGGGTTCCCGGCCTGGGTCTGTTCTCCAGCTGTCCCATGCATTTCCACTGCAGAAAGCATGACCCTTTCTGGGTCGGGAAGATCGGTTCGACTCCGGCACTAGAAACATGGACTGGTCTGGAACAGAAATGTTGATGCTGTCTATGGCAGTCTCACGCAGTAATGGAATAATAGCACTGTATTGCTCTGTATGTGGAAATCACCCAGTGTGCAAGAGAACGCTTTCAGTCTCAATTCTGTGTAGAGAGTAGTGTGCATGTGTGCACTCATCTGCCTCCCATAGTCACACGCTTCTCCTGACTTTTGTAATAATAAGTGACAGAGACGTCCAATCAATCATCCTGGTGTCCAGTATGGCTGTTATTTCAGAAGGATCTGCTCCTTCAAGTTCAGAGAGACGGGAGATGGGAGACGCCATTGTCCTGATGCTAATCAGAGAGCCAATTGAAAATCACCCCATTCGATTACAGCCATCTGCATACTGAGCATCTGCCCCTGAAATGTGGCCAGCCGTCCCATCCCCCCCGACCTTCTGCGCCGCCCCGTGACCCTGCAGCCGCCCTCAGGCCGCTCACCCCTCTCCTCCTCACGGCTCAAGGCCGGCTCTCTCCGTGTGTTTGCACATAATCACACGCACCGCTCTTTTTCACTTCTCACCCAGTGTCTGTGCAGCCTGTCCATCCGCGTGAAGCTGCAAACCGATCCAAGAAATGCTCTTTAGTTGAATCTGAACGCTCCTGAACGTTCTCCTGCTCTTCAGCCCTAACTCTGTTCTCAGTCTTTGGCTCTGGTAGTATACAGTGTTAAAGCAACACGGAAGAGATTGTGGCCATACTAGAGCAAGAGGCTCCACACTGATGAAGAACATTTAAAGAGCTTATAGATGTATAACTTACCAGTGGTGTAATGTGACAAAGTAATAATACTTCATTACAGTACTTAAGTATTTTTTGGGAGTATCTGTACTTTACTTGAGTTTTTATATTTCAGCCAACTTTTACTCCACTACATTTCCTAATTAAAATGTATACTTTTACTCCGATACATTTCCCCGAAGCATATTCGTTACTTACTGCAAAATAGTCAGAAGAACACGGACTGTAGAGAAGCAGGTTTGACGAATCGGTGGTCTGGCGTTTGCAAGTTAGACTCCTAAAAACACCTTTGGTCATCTGCAAACAAGTGCGCGCACAACCGCGGACGATTCATTTTCCACTCAAGTCAAGTCTGGGGTGTGCGATACAGCATCGTCTGCGATAATATGGTAAGTGTTGTTGTAATGATGTGCGATCTGACATTATCAAGTAGGCTATATCACCAAATCACACACACAGAGTGCACGCACATGATTTATTAGTCTATTAAAACTCAAAGATACAGGCATTCTAAATTGTAGATGGCAAAAATGCTTCTGTATGCTTTTAATATTCATATAATTTAATATAGTTAATTTAATCTATATCACACAAAGAGTACCGTTTTTCTGCAGATATCAGCTTGAACATTTAATAATCATTTTATACAAGTTCAGTAAAGCAGTAAGTGACTTACATTTTAGACATAATATTGCTTGTTTTTTATGGAAGAAAAATAATGTCATATGTCTTTGAAACAAAAAAGCACGTTGAATAGCACTGACTGAAAAAATAATGCATTGCATTAACAGTGCTTGCATTTTTAGGTCCTGAAATTTAACATAGTTGTCTATTTAAGCTGTGAATATTTCAATTCAAAATATTTCACACACATTTTATATAAATTCAATAATTAAAAATTCAATAATTCATATTCACCTTCCAGAATTCACTTCCAAAATATTAAATCCATTTAAAAATATGATGTATAATATTCGACAGGCAAATTTCGGTCCATTTTATTTCACTTTCCAAATTCAGTGGTTCAAATTCAGCAGAAAATTCAACATTGCACATCCGTATGAACATATATGAAGGGAGGTATTGGCAAAATATCACCTGTAGTAAATCACTATGAGCAATACGAGCTTTACAGTTTTACAGTGTGTTATTTTAAATGTTAAAAGTAATTTTAATTAAAATGCATTGGACGTTTTAACCCAGTCGGTGGAATTGTCAGATGGTCCCTTGTGTGCGATAACGCGTCAATGCTTTCTCTGGTTTTGTACTCCTATTTTTATGTCAATATAAAGTGGTTGCATATTGATAAAACTAATCGTGGTATTGATATCTTTGTAGGACTGTAGACTCTATAGATCAGTGGTAAGGGTAAGCAATTATAAAGAAAATGCAGCTTGTTGCGTTCTTCTGACCTCATTTGCTTGCCTGTATATAGTTCGCATAATCACAAATCAAGTGTATTCTGAGATCTGAGGTCTTATATCACTGTATTAGTTCACTGAGGTCGTTGGGGAATCCTGGAGTGTGATGTATGAGGGTAACCACAGTATTACAGCACAGCATCACACAAGCCATGATAAAGTAAACTAAGCAACCGAAAGCAATATATATGTCTTCCTCAGATGTAATGTTAGTTCTGTACATCAGCGTTGGGTAAAATAGCATTAGAATCTTCTTTATGGTAGAGAAAGCTGCTTACATGTAGGCTACGGGAAACAGCAAAGATGTTGAATTAAACACACACACAATCAGCTTTTCCACATGTTTATACTGGCCCTGATAATCAAAACTTCTACTCGCCACTTGCTCCATTCCTGCAGATCAGATTTTGTGAATGAATGACTCTTTTTTTTTAAACAATCAAACGTCTCCGCGTCGCGCGACACAACGAATCGATTATGAAATTCGTTGCCAACTCTTTTAGTAATCGATTTTTATCGATTTAATCGATTCGTTGTTGCAGCCCTACTGAAAATGCAAGCACTGTTAATGCAATGCATTATTTTTTCAGTCAGTCCTATTCAACGTGCTTTTTTGTTTCAAAGACATATGACATTATTTTTCTTCCATAGTTTTTGCTCAATTTTGCTAATGAAAATAGTTCCTAACAAAGATCACAGCACTGTTTTGCGTCTCTGAGCAATGGTGTTTACTTATTGAATGAATCAGCCTTTTGAATGAATCGGTTGAATAAATGATTCAGTGATCCACTCATTAACACAGTCAAGTGCTTGGTTTCTGAATGAATCAGTCGTTTGAATGAATCTGTTGATTCTCAATGACTCACTCATTAACAGTCACTTGCTGTCACCTACTGCCGGTTTTAATTTCACATTTCGACTTTTTTTCATGTTTTAAATTATTTCAAATATCAGTATTCAACGTTTTATGTTAAAACCAAAACATTAGGCCTATTTATGCAGCTGTAACTGCAGTTTAAATGCATCCATGTCCCCTCTGAGATATATAAACTGTGTAGAAAAAAATGGAAGAAAGAGTTAAAACTGAACACAATCTTGCTACTCAAGCTGTGTATGAACATTTATTTATATATATATATATATATTTGCTTCTTTTCCATTTTGCATTTACTTGTACTTTTACTTTCAATACTTAAGTACGTTTAAGATAAATAAAAAAAACACTTTTCGTACTTAAGTACAATAAATATCACATACTTTAAGACTGTTACTCAAGTAATATTCTAAACAGTGTCTTCAACTTCTACCAAAGTCATTTTCTGGTAAGATATCTATACTTTACTTGAGTATGGCTTTCAGGTACTTTATACACCTCTGTAACTTACAAGACTGTGAGCAGCAGGTGGGATAGAAGCAGGGGTGTGAAGTAACAAATTACAAATACTCACGTTACAGTAATTAAGTAGTTTTTATCAGTAATT